TCAGGGAGGGGGTACATGCTAGATTCACAGTTAATCCTTTACTCTTATCCTCCAGGTGTTTTGGACTTCACCTCCCAGTGGCTTTGGCAACTTTAATAAATGGTCAGAGATTCTGGGAGCGGAAGTCCAAAACACCTGAAGAACCAGATCTTGGGAATCACTATGCTAGAGCAAAGGTCCTCAAAAATTTTAAGCAGAGGTTCACATGAAAGAATTCCTATGCATAGTGCACATCCTGTGGGCCTTAGTTTGGGGACCCCTATGCTAGAAGAATTAGACTTCTAGAATTGGAGGAGACCACAAGGACCATCCAGTCCAACAACCTGCCATGCAGACACACATAATCAAAGCACATCCAACAGCCTTTGGAGGTTAGAAATGGAAGGCATCACACAGGGAAGAAGGCGAGAAGAAACTGTCCTTCTCCAGCTCATAACAGTTATAGTAAATTTCCTGAAGGAGGAGCTAGCACAGAAGAAATCTATGTATTGAGGTTGTGCTTGTCATTAAGCAGCAGGAGGGGGCAACATAGGACCCATTTGTGACTCCTGACACCAATCAGCCACCCCATTTGTACATCTGGGTAGCATACAACAAATCACAACATTCTTTCAAAATAAAATGTTTCCCAGGCTAGTTACTCAGCAGTTAGTTAAAATTATGGCATTTTGGAAAACTGCAGGTTGTTTTGCTGCCACTATGCTAATAGAATTTAACAGTGTAGGAGAAAAATTGGTCATGAGAGAATGCAGCAGGGGCTGAGAGGACCATTGTATCCCCACTACATTATGCAGTGGGTGGTGGATTCAGGCAGAATGAAATTGCAAAGGATATCTTTTAATGCACATTCTGCCTTTTCTAGATCGCTATGAAATCTTCAGATTCTAATCTGGAAGACCTCCTTACAATATATAGCATAGCAGGAAATTGAGGAGGGGCAGAAAGACAGTTGTTGTTTTTCAATATCCTGAAATGTCTGACTAGATGGAAAAGTCTGAAAAGGCCTTACTGCAAGTCTCTCTATTCTGAGTATTGCCCTGACCTAAAAAATTCCTTTTAGGGTTTGCGGGATACTCTGCCATTTTTGCTGCAAATATCACTTGAGATCCCTTGTTATTAAACTATCATTCATGATTTTCATTGTGTCCATTCTTTGAATTTATAGCACATCTGCAACTTCCGTGTCAAAAATGTTACTGTATATTCTGTGTACATATTGTTAATTAGAAGACAATATCTCTTAATGTATGACTGGCTTCTGAATTCTGTGCATGGCTTCTCTGACATAAGCCCCTTGCAACCAAAACTTAAGTTTCATTCTAACCATGTATTTATTTATTTATTTATTTACTATGCTTCTATGCTGCCATTCTCAGCCCGAGGGCGACTCATGGCGGTTTACAAAGCGGCACAATTCGATGCCCGTAGCAGTACAAAGATAATTAAACATTGAAAACATTTAACATAGATAAAATTCATTACAAATAACATCAATAAAACATAATTAAAAACCATAAGTCCTCCGCATTTCATTACCAATCATTATCCAGTCACGTTGTCCAACTGTTCCGAGATCAGAGTTTAACAGCTACACTGCATTTGGGAAGTCCTGCTCATATAACCAGGTTTTAACTTTTTTTGTGAAACATTAAGAGGGTGAGGGCCGATCTAATGGCCCTGTGCAAAAAAATCAGAAGTTTCGGAAATTGTAAGAAAATTGAAAGTTTTGTAAGTCAGAAGCCATATTCAAAACGTTTTATGGCCCACACCAAATATTTTAGAATCAAAACTTACCTAAAACTTTTTAGTTTTAGTTTTGTAGATCTCAGAAGGTTTCCAAAGTCAATTTCATATTCAATGCAGGGCAAGGAAGCAAAGCCAAAGGTTGCCTTAGTGCCCTGCCATTCCTCTGTGGAATTAATGCAGTCTTGGCACTAGCAGCGGGTGAAAGAGGGAGCAGTGCATTTTGGAAACAGCACAGAACTCTGGAAAATGTAATTTGGGAAGGGAGGAGCCCTATGCCAGAGAATTCCCCAAACTACATTTTCCAGGCTGCATCAGCATCAGAAAGCACCAATCAGGGTAGCGACGAGAGAGATTTGTCCCTCCCTAAAACTTTGAAAATTCTCCAAAGATCCATGGCCAAGTGAAACATTCTGAAATTTGGTGGGCGAACAGTGGTAAATGTGTTCTACCATTGTAGCAAGTTTCACCCCAATAGGTTTAAAAATGAGAGAGATTGGAGCCCCTGAAGTTTCTCCAATTATAGTAATTATGTGCATGCGCAATTGCTAAACGAAATAGTCACGAATTTTCTTTACTTTCATTATAGTAACGAAATTTTCACTAAGTATATTTTAGAAACACTTTAGAAACAAAGCACCAGCGCCCCCCAGTTCTGTAGTAACTTTTGGACCATTTTTAATGAATTGCACAGCCCTACTGGCTACCCCTCCCCAAGCATCAGAACATATTTGGGGAAAATTTCATCGATATAAACGTTTACTTCTAGCAACAGTTTTGTTTCCTTCAACTGTCATTTTTTCAATTCCATTTCTGTCATACGCATCAATTCTAATGCAGGTTTATAGCTGATGCCTATGAAGGAGAAATACATATTTTGCTAGAGTTTCTTCCAGACTTCTTGAAAATATGGTAGTTTAGGCAGACTGGTTTGCTCCAGTAGTCACTAGGCAAGATCATTTGCTACCGTTGCCAACTCAATCTATTAAGGCCCATTTAATTTGTATCTCTCTGTAATCTCACAATATAGCAGAATTTTATGTTGCCAGCAGCCTTTTTACCCTTAACTCTTGCATCAAGAGATTCTCTTCCAGATAAATAAATATGCATGTTTAGTATTTCCCTTTGGGAGTATTTTGCCAGCAATGCTGGACATATTTCACAGTTTTTGTTTTCAAAGTATTGTGCTAGAGGGGAGTGTAGATGCTTATCTCCATATTAATTGAGCAAGCTTTTGCTTTGATCTACTGATATGCTTTAATCAGTTTTGTAATATTTCATTTGTTATTTGGGCATTGTTTTCATGATCCTCTGTAGCTACTTCAGGTAGTTTATCATTGTGGTTATTTTCAGAATTTACTGTTGCCATACAGTGTTTTCTCTGTTTTATAAAAATGCAAGTAGGCAAAATTCATAATGAAATGCCTGCCGCTCTTGGATCTCTCACTCCACATTGAAAATAGTTCCAATACCTTATAGAGTGCTTCTTCAGACTGTGGTTGAGTTTGCTTCATTCCACCTCCCGATTCCTCCTACCCTGGGAAGGACAGAGCCAGTGACTGAACAAGTGGCCCTTCCAGAAACAGACGAATTTCTTTTGCCCTCTGCTTGCTCTATTGCTCAAGAGTAGAAGCAGACAAAGCAAGTGTATGGCTTGCCCAAGTCCTTGGAGGAACAGCTCTCATGAAGGACTACTTCTTGGCCAAGTGTCTTTCTCCATCCAGTAGATGGCATGTGGCCCAATGCTTCATTGTATGGAGAAAATGGGCAAGGTGAGGGCAGACAACGGGTCTTGGGGTGAGTGAAGTTAATTGGAAGAAGGAGCCAGATCCTCCAGTATCAGCCAGCATGCCAGACTGGCCTGAGGAAAGACTTGCCTTCAGAATCCGTTGCTTTTCTATGGTAATAGATGAGCAGAGCACATTCCAGCCTTGTAATCAATGTCCATTGTAAACATTCAAGCTATTGTCCTCCCAACCCTGCTATACGCCTGCGAGACATGGACAGTCTACAGACGTCACATGAAGCTCCTGGAACTATTCCATCAGTGCTGCCTCTGGAAAATCCTACAAATCTTCTGGGAAGAGAAGTGGACAAATGTCAGCGTGCTGGAAGAAGCAAAGACCACCTGCATTGAAGCAATGGTCCTCCGCCATCAACTCCTCTGGACTGGCCATGTTGTCCGGATGCCCGACCACCGTCTCCCAAAGCAGTTGCTCTACTCTGAACTCAAGAACGGAAAATGGAATGTTGGTGGGCAGGAAAAGAGATTTAAAGATGGGCTCAAAGCCAGCCTTAAAAACTCTGGCATAGACACTGAGAACTGGGAAGCCCTGGCCCTTGAGCACTCCAGTTGGCAGTCAGCTGTGACCAGCAGTGCTGCAGAATTTGAAGAGGCACGAATGGAGGGCGAAAGAGAGAAATGTGCCAAGAGGAAGACGCATCAAGCCAACCCCGACCAGGACTGCCTCCCAACTGGAAACCGATGCCCTCACTGCGGAAGAAGATGCAGATCAAGAATAGGACTCCACAGCCACCTACAGATCCACCCCCAGGACCATCATCCTCAGACTACGAGGGATCGCCTAAGAGATGAATGTATCACTTGAACTTATCTGGGTGAATATGTGCCATATTTATGAGATGTATGGATCAGTTTGAATATAATCACAGTGACTTAGTCATTGCATAGTAGTTGTCTTTTAATCCATTTTGGTGAATTCTGTACCATCTATGGTACAGAATTCTGAATTTGTGAGGACATAGAGAAATAGTTTGTCATTTGCATTTTTCTACATACAACACTATGTAAAATGTGAAAAAAAATCTGTTCCTAGTTTGATAGTGTTATTCCCTGTTTAATTGTGTAGTGCTTACTTTGAAAGTAGTTGGTATACTCCAGAAACTTCATTTTGTGTGTGTGGCTGATACAAACTATGTTGAAGTGGCTGAGACTCTATGAGATATTCATTGATGAACTACAGCAAAATGTACTGCAGGATGTACCACAAAAACAAAGTTTTTCCAGCTTAATAATAATTTTTCATGGTTTTTTTTATGACAGAAGCATTTCAGAAATGATATTTATAACCCAGGAACAAAAATTATGTTTCATAGTGTAATCTTAGAGCTAGACTACGGTTTAATGATTTATTGGAAGAAGATAAATTTGGAATGCAGACTTTTCAGTGTTTTAAGTTTATAAGAAATTGATTCATTCTAATATTATATTTGCATATTTCTGTCAATTTTTAAAGGAAACTTCAATTTTGTCATCTGAGGCCTTGCCATCTAACCCAGGTAAGAACATTTAACCTAGCTGTTGAAAATTCCTAATTTTAGTAGGTCTTGCGTTTTGCATCTATGCCTTAAAACTGGCTTATATACCTGGTGTTTCCAGGGTTAGGTATTTTGTAACACTGCTTATTAGAAATAATCTTGGTTTGGTTTTGGATGTTATAAATGGTCCCATTCAAAAATATATAATCATATAATGGGACCATTTATAAAATTATACAGCCAGTGAGGTCCAACTCCCATTCGTCAAAGACCTGGTCAGGCTTCAATTCCTCATAGGTTCAGATATGGCTTGCTGTAACTCCCATTTTCCCCAGCTCTGGTGAGGTGGAACTCCCATCACCCCCAAATCTGTTTGGTGTTGAACTCCCATTAGCCCTAGATCCGGATGGGTCAGTCTAGAGTCTGCTCCTAGCTAGTCAGACATCTCAGCCTTTTTGTTGGGGTGTAACTCCCATCATCCACAGGCTGTGTAGAGAAGGGGTAAGGACTGGGAGATGCAGGTTGGCAAGTAGAGTGAGCCATATGAATGGTTAGGAAGAGAGGCATACTTTGTTGTGGGTTGGATTCACAGAGCTCTTTAGATGTGGGTGGATTTGAACTTCAGTTATCCTCTATCATGCCCTTACCAGTATTTTAAGTTAGATCATGAAGTATATGTATGCCAAGTGTGGTTCAGACCCATTGTTGATGGCCATGACATGACTCTCTGAATGTGGGTGAACTACACATCCTATCATCCTCTGTCAATCTCCCTAAACCCTACCAACATTTTAAACTGGATCCTGATGGGTATGCATAATATGTTTGATACAGAGCCATGATGGGTGGGATACACACAGTTCTTCTCTAGATGCATGTGGAGCACAATATCCATTGTGCCCAGGTATCTCCCCAAATCCTACCATATTTTAAGTCAGTCATGATGGGCATGTGTGCCAGGTTTGGCCCAGATCTATCATCATAGGATCCACACAGCTCTCTGGATGTGGGTAGACTACAACTCCTATCATCCTCTGTCAATCCCTCCAAACCCTGCTAGTATTTTAAGTTGAACTTGATGGAGTTTTGTGCCAAGTTTGGTCCAGATTCACCATCTGCGGGATGCATATGGTTCTCTGGATGTGGGTTGGGGGAGGGCTATCAGCCCTCCCTCCCAAACCCCCTCAAGTTGGACCATGGTGGATATGTCTGCCAAGTTTGGTATGGATCCATCAAACTCTGTAGGAGTCTTTGTGGATCAAACATACATGTAAATAAGCATATTTTTACTCATAGATAGATATGGTAGATCATAAATTATTCTTCAAAAATGAATCATGTCTTTCGAAATCTGTGTATTTTCTAGGACTTAAAGGAAGCTATGAATTGATGATACCACTTACAGAGTCTGGCTCGCTTCCTGATCCTGAAGAAGTTGGTGAGTAAATTGACTTGCTGAAGAGTATATGGTGAAATTTCTTTAAAACAAGAAGGTAATGGTTGTATGTATGGATAGATCCATTTCAGACGGGGAGAAATACTCTCTGTGGGAAGTTTATTTCACTCAAAGACATGGAAAGTACCCAAGTGTGAGGTTAAGAAGTTATGAATATTAAAGATGGCCACCAGCAGAATTTTCAAAGAACACTATCGTCGAAGGAAATGTCTATCTTCCTTTTGTCCTCAAACATTATTTTTAAATACACATACCAAGATCTTCCTTTGCATTTGCATTTGTAGATCATTCCACCTTTACTAGCTTTGAGAAGCCTTGCATGATAATTGAGCAAATTATAAATGAGATCAAATGAATTTAATCTGCAGATTTTTCAGAAATGCAGAAAGCATCAAGTAAAGATCAAGATTTAGGCTGCTAAGGGGAGGGATTAACTGTCCCCTCTCCCCTTTGGTTTGTAGAATAATTCATTATTTGAAGCCACTGCTTGCTTTTTGGCCAAATCCTATGCAGTCAGGCCTGTAGCCGGGGGGGGGGGGGTAGGAGTTCCCCCCCCCCCAAATTTTTCAGGTTAAAAAAAACCTGGTTTACTCATGAATTTTAACTGATTAACCCAATCCCGATGCTAAGTCTATGAGACGCAAAAAATTAAGAGTCCCTCCAGAACTGCAAGCACTATCTCAAGCAAATATTGACAATTTATTCACACTGTCATTACTTGCAGCAATAGCCGATGTAGTGAAGCAACCAAGTTGGGGGGGGGGGGTTGAATGCTCTCATTAAGGAGGCCAGACTTGGTGGAGGTGGTTGACAGGGGCGGAGCTGCAGGCTATTGAAGGCTGCTCTGCCCCCTGCTGTGCTCTTTGCTTCAGCGTGACCCTAACCCCCTCCCCAAATTTTCACACCCCCCCAAAATTTTCAAACCCCTCCCCCCAAATTTTCAACCCTCCCCGAATTTTTTTTCTGGCTATGGCCCTGTATGCAGTACTTGGTGCAAATGGAGAAATTGATTGAATGTAAGGAAAGAAATTAAATTCCACTCCAGAACTGCTGTCCACAGTGATGTTGATGCCATTTGCATTTTGCTGTTTAGTCTCACCCTCAAGAAGAGCCTGGGAACTTTGTAAAATACAGTATCTCCCACATAGGCCCCTTCTACACTGCCATATAACATCCAGATTATCTGTTTTTGAGTTGTATTATATGGCAGTTTAGATTCATATAATCCAGTTCAAAGCAGATAGTGTGGATTATTTGCTTTAATAATCTGGATTATATGGCAGTGTAGAAGGGGCCGTTATTTAATATTGCCCCTGTGGAGCTCTTGAATACCCAGCCTGACACCTCCTTTTCTGTTTGGATGAATAAGGTAGACATTTCAGACATGAGAGGTTCATGAGAACATGGATTCAGATTTCCCATCTTGTCTTAACATGAAGAAAAAGTTTCATGTCCCAGTTATATTTCTTCATTTGTTTTCAACGTTACTACTTTTTAATATGCAGTTTCTCTCTTCTTTGGGTAGGAGCAGTAGGTTATTCAGCAGATCCACCCACATCTGATCGACTGGGCAATGAGATGGCTACATATGTCAATATTCCTACCAGCCCAACATCAAAGAAACAGCTTCATTACATGGAACTGGAACTCCAGGAACCTAGTACAAGCATAAGAGGTAGTGATGTTCCAGAGTGACACAAACCTGTTTTTTTTTAACAACCTTTGCACTACTATTTTTTGGTTGAAACAGGGATTTAAAAAGACCTGTTGTGAAGTATGGACAATTACACTGAAAGAGGGTCAGAGCTCAAACTGTGCAGTTCTGAATATTATTTATGCAACTAAACAACATTTAATTTTCACTGAACACTTAGAGGAGTTCTCAGTACAAACAGAATTATTTTGCTCCTATTTAAATGCTGGATGATGTTTATATCTGCATAAATTTCATTAAATCAAAAAGCTTTTTCTGGGGACAGTTTGCTAGTTTTGATTAAAGGCATTTTCAGTTATAACTCTGGATAGATGGTGGAGCACAAGATATAATAATATCCTAGGGTTTTTAAAATTAATATTTTGGATACGCCGAAAGTCCTTCCCTCTTCTTTCCTCTTTTTTATATCAAATCTCTCTCTGTTTTGTTGTAGGAACTTTGTCATTTATTGTCCTTGCAGTCCTTATGTGTTCCCATAATTGGGGGGAGACTGCAATTGTGCCAAGGATGTGTGAATTCTGACCATTGCTGCAAGGAAAGTGCTCTGTTATTATTTTTAGCACCCTTTTTTTGGAAAGCAATGTAACATTGATAATTAATTATCACTCAAGTCTGATGCTCACTTATTTTTGGCTAAATTACATTGCCAAAATTGAGATCTCATTAGATTCAATGGTGTGTTAGAATCATACACATAAACCATCCTGCATAAAAAGAACTGGAGAAACCTAGAACCTCAGAGGCAGGGAGTGCAAAAAGGTTTCCGTGTCACCTGGAGGAGGAGGAGTGTGCAGCTAGTGACCCAGTCATTCCTGTCACTTAGCTGCGGATCCGGCCTTTTGAGTGGCCCTTGAGGTCTTTCGCCCACCCCCCTAGGTTCAGTCCCATGTGGTTTCCAGCTGGTCTCATTTATGAGGCCTTCAAAACTCCCACAGTTTTAAAGGTGTTGTGAATGAGGCTCATTGGAAATTGTGTGGGGCTGATAAATTTCCCAAACTTTGCCTGATGGAGAGGAATGGCTTCTCAAATGGCCTTATTCATTCTGCATAATATGCTATGTCTGCTCTACTGGATGCATTACATTCAAGAGCAAATTCAATTTCTGTAATTTGCACCTTCAAAACTGAGGTGTGCATTACATTTGATGGTGCATTATAGTCAAATAAACACAGTAATTTATTTAGTATAAAACTTTGCACACAGAAGCCTAAGAAGAGGAGGATAAAAGAATATAAGATCATAGAATCCTAGAGTTGGAAGAAACCTCAGGGGCCATCCAGTCCAACCCCCTGCCAAGGAGCAGGAAAATCACATTCAAAGCATCCCCTGACAGATAGTTATCCAGTCTCTGTTTAAAAGCCTCAAAAGAAGGAGCCTCAACCACACTCCAGGGCAGAGAGTTCCACTGCCTGAACAGCTCTCACAGTTAGGAAGGTCTTCCTCATGTTTAGGTGGAATCTCCTTTCCTGTACTTTGAAGCCATTGTTCCGTGTCCTAGTTTCCAGGGCAGCAGAAACAAGCTTGATCCCTCCTCCCTATGACTTCCCCTCACATATTTCTATATACCCTCATCATGTCTCTTCTCAGCCTTCTCTTCTGCAGGTTGTTTAAGCTGCTCCTCATAGGGCTTGTTCTCCAGACCCTTGATCATTTTAGTTACCTTCCACTGGACACATTCCAGCTTGTCAACATTTCCCTTTAATCATGGTGCCCAGAATTGGAAACATTATTCCAGGTGTGGTCTGACCAAGGCAGAATAGAGGGGTAGCATGACTTCCCTAGATCTAGACATTATACTCCTATTTATGCAGGCCAAAATCCCATTGGCGTTTTTAACTGTCGCATCACGTTGTTGGCTCATGTTTAACTTGTTGTCCACAAGGACTCCAAGATCTTTTTCACACGTACAGCTCTCGAGCCACACGTCCCCCATTCTGTATCTTTGCATTTCATTTTTTCTGCCTAAGTGTAGTATCTTGCATTTGCCACTGTTGAACTTCATTTTGTTAGCTTTGGCCCATCTCTCTAATGTGTTAAGATTGTTTTGAATTCTGCTTCTGTCTTCAAGAGTATTAGCTATTCCTCCCAGTTTGGTGTTGTCTGCAAACTTGATGATCATGCCTTCTAACTCTTCATCTAAGTCATTTATAAAGATGTTGAACAGAACTGGGCCCAGGACAGAACCCTGCAATGTAAGAGGAGTGGTTKGTTTTTATTTATTTTATTTAGAACTTTTACCAAAGTTTTTACCAAAGAGTACAATTATTTTTTTCTTAGTGAAGAGATAGCAGGACTGTAGTAGTATATAATCCAGTGGGGAAATGCTGAAGTGGGAAGAAATAGCTGTACTTCATCTTTTCCCCATTTCAGAAACCCACCATGCTCTGGGGTTTTAACAAGACTACAAGATTCATGCCTTAGCAGGAGAGAGGAGAGATAAATATGGGGGGGGGGGCAACATGCCCTCCACTGCCTTCCAATAAGAACTCCCCATGAAATTTTGCTTCAGTCCCTAACTTTTTAGTATTACAGGAACTTAGAACTTCAATTAAAAACAGTTTGGGCATCCTAAGAAAGGGGGAAGGCCAAATTGCTGAGGAAAATATACACGGTAAATATAGAAGCAACAATTTTCAGCATCTCACTCTTTGCACAGTTAGAAATTTGGGGACTGATTAAGATGTCATTATTTCTGAGGCCAGTCCTCCAACCTCTTGCAAGTATAGCTATAGCCTTGGGCTCCTGCAGTCCTAAGCACAAGCACTCCTGTTGCAAGTTGGAGATGAGCCAACAATGTGATGTGGCGGCAAAAAAAGCCAATGGGATTTTGGCCTGCATCAATAGGAGCATAGTGTCTAGATCTAGGGAAGTCATGCTACCCCTCTATTCTGCCTTGGTCAGACCACACCTGGAATATATTCTCCAATCCTAGACACCACAATTGAAGAGAGATGTTGGCAGGCTGGAATGTGTCCAGAGGAGGGTGATTAAAATGATCAAGGGTCTGGAGAACAAGCCCTATGAAGAGCGGCTTAAGGAGCTGGGCGTGTTTAGCCTGAAGAAGAGAAGGCTGAGAGGGGATATGATAGCCATGTATAAATACGTGAGAGGAAGTCACAGGGAGGAGGGTGCAAGCTTGTTTTCTGCTTCCCTGGAGACTAGGACATGGAACAATGGATTCAAACTACAAGAAAGGAGATTCCATCTAAACATTAGGAAAAACTTCCTGTCTGTGAGAGCCGTTCAGCAGTGGAACTGTCTGCGCCGGAGTGTGGTGGAGGCTCCTTCTTTGGAGGTTTTTAAACAGAGGGTAGATGGCCATCTGTCAGGGGTGCTTTGAATGCAATATTCCTGCTTCTTGGCAGGGGGTTGGACTGGATGGCCCATGAGGTCTCTTCCAACTCTATGATGCTATGATTTTATGTTGTGTTGTGTCTGAAAGAACAATTTCTAGAAATGGTTTCCCAGTATGAAAAGATGCTCAACTTTAGTTTTGGACAGTGTGGCAGGCACTAAGGTGAGTATTACATCACTCTTATGTTGCCTGAAAATATTTTGATTAAGTTTCACACATCCCAACGATCTGTTTTCCCATCACAGGGAGTGAATCAACCAAATATGCACAGATTGATATTACGGCAATGGAGACAGCACATAAAGTGGGAACACAACATGCTCAGTTTCGAGAAGAACGCCTACAAGAGCTTGAACAAAAGAAGAAAGGCAGCCAGTCCTCATCTTCATCTTAGAAGAAACAGTGCATTAGCCCTGTTTGTACATGTTTTATGAAGTTATTAATTTAACACTGCCGTTGTTTTTCAGAATTGCACCAGATTCATTCCAATTTATTGATTTCTGCTTTGAAAACTGGTAGCATGGTGTGTGTGTGTTGTCTGAATATAAAAAACTGGTTGTAAACATATCTAATAGATCACACATGTTGTATTTTTATCGGATTAAATCATGTATCAAGTGCACATGATTTTTAAACTGAAGCATTTAATTTAAAGACATTTGAATGAGATGTAAATGTATCTAAGTATACAGGCGTTTTGCTTTATACAGCATATGTATTGACAAAATACCATGCTTTGTTAAGAGATAAGGTGGCTTTTTATATCAATTTTCAAAAGTGAAAATTATTATTACTACTACAGTCATTCCTCCACATTTGTGGGTTTGACTTTTGTGGATTTTATTATTCATGGGTTTGATTAATATGTTCTCTCTATAAATGTCAGTGGAAGTTGATCCCTAAAGTCAAGCTATAGTACCTAGAGATTTCTCGAGAGGCATTATCTCAGGTTAAGAAAAAATGTTGTTTTTTTTAAATTTGTGGTTTTCCCACTCTTGCACCCCTAACCTCGGGGAATATTATGGTCAACTTTATTTATATCCTATTCTTTCAGGACTGAAAGCATATTACAAATTTAGATAAAGTAGTTTAAACATACAAAAGATCAACATTAAAATAAAATTAAACTACTAACAACATTTAAAAACAATTTACAATTCAAAAGTTTAAAAATGATAAAAAGCTAAGGCAAACCAGAAAAATGCGTATGTGTGTGACATTTATGTCTTATGGATTCGATCAGGGGTTCTCAACCTTTTAAAACAAAGGGCCAGTTCACAGTCCCGCAAAATGTTGGGAGGCCAGACTATAGTTTGAAAAAGACATGAACCAATTCCTATGCGCGCACTGCACATATTTTTTTTGTAGTACAAGAAAAACATGAAAGAACAATACAATATTTAAAATGAAGAATGGTTTTATCCAACATAAACTTACCAGTATTTCAGTGGGAAGTGTGGGCCTGCTTTAGACCGATGAGAGAGTCAAATTAATTAGGATTGTTGTTGTTGTGTGTTTCAGACTTAGGGCAATCTAAGTTTAGGTGGAGGCGGGTAAATGTTTAGGTGGAGGCGGGTAAATGACCTTGGAGGGTCATCCAGCCTGCAGACATTAGTTTGGTGACCCCTGGGTTAGATGAAGAATGTATAGGGCAGTCATAATGTATAGAGATATATAGGACAGCCCTGTTTCTTTCATCCAATTTTTGTAAGTGGTGGGTTAAGGCAGTGGTGATGTTCTCCTTGCAGAGCCCCCCCTGTTCCAAACAGAGCTCCAGTAATAGAAGAGTCCTCTTTTCTGTAGCTTTGAATGTCTCCTTCTGAACTGTTCTGGAGGATCCTCCAAGCCTCTGGAATTGATAGGGAAGAGGTACAGTGCCTGGGAAACAACAAGGGACAAATATCAGCTCCTCTTTTTTCTGTTAGTGGAGGTGGCCTACAGGATAAAAGCCACTCTGCAGAATCTATTGCTACATATAATGAATATAATCACTGATCCATTTCTGCTTACCTATGGCAGGAACAGCACTACTGCTAGGGTACATTTATGGATTCTGCAAACACAGATTCAATCATTCACAGCTTAAGTTTTAAATATTCAAAATTTTTCAATTTTTTAATATAAGGAACAGTATATTTATATGCTACAGTATATAATAGGACTGGGTTATTTTGGTATCCATGCTGTGTATGCATATATCATACAACAGCAGCTTTTATTGGAGCCCCCAGTGGTGCAATGGGTTAAACCCTTGTGCCGGCAGGACTGAAGACCAACAGGTCGCAGATTCGAATCCGGGGAGAGCACGGATGAGCTCCCTCCATCATCTCCAGCTCCTCATGCGGGGACATGAGAGAAGCCTCTCACAAGAATGGTAAAAACATCAAAAACATCCAGGCGTCCCCTGGGCAATGTCCTTGCAGATGGCCAATTCTCTCACACCAGAAGCGACTTGCAGTTTCTCAAGTCGTTCCTGACAAAAAAATGGCCTACATAAACAAAATCACAGAGCAGACATATATATATAACAAGAGGAAGCCATGGATAAAGAAAGAGAAACATGATTAAAAATTACAATCTATATAAATAAAAATGTAATGTTAGTTTGTGGGATTAACATAACTCAAAAAACACTGGATAAAGTGACACCAAATTTGGACACAAGACACCTCTCAGGTCAACAAGTAACCATTGCTCATAAAAACACTGAAAAACACAATGGAAGAGACTTTAAAAAGCCAAAAAATAAAAATACATTACAACGCATACGCAAAACCACATATACACACATATACACATACATACACAACACAAAACACATATACACAGACTGGGCCACAGCAACGCGTGGCAGGGGACAACTAGTATCAAGTATAAAACTTGCAGAACTCTAACAAAAGGAAGAATGCATCAGAATTGTTCAGAAGATAGGGAATTTTTTTTAACACTCTTGCCATTGAGAACACTGCAGAAAACTGGAATTCTTGCATTTCATCTGTAGCATATCATGTTTGGGGCATACAAAGAATGGTCAAGTATTTAAACAGAAACCAAGTCACAGGAACTAACCCTTTGAGAACATCCCATATTGCTGTATCCCCCACCCAAAAGAGCAGATGGCAACACTGCATCTTGTAGTAGCCAAAGTTCTCCTGTGGGTGGGATTAATCAAAATGCGAATATCCTGGAACCAAGCTGCAGTGGATACCCAAGGATCCTCTCCTCTTTTTCCAACCCCATGAAGCCTCTGCCTTAAGCATTGCTCTGATTCTTGATCTGAGTCACAGTGCAAAATAAGCCAAAAAACACATCATCTCTCTGAATGTTTGAGCCAGTGATTTACTGCTGTTCTTTGCCGGTTTATGTTGTAAATAAAACCACTGTTAGGCCAAGAACATGCAGGGCAACAAAACATCACCAAATAAAATTAAATTTGTGCTGTTAATTTACTAGCCAAGGGCACCATGGATGTACCAAGTGAAAATATGTAATTTACATCCAAATCAGTTGAAAGTGCATTTTATTTACTATTATTTTTACTGCTTTTGCTTAGACATTTGAATAACGCTGTGTACAGTGATCTCATCTCTTAACAACAAAGTTGTATCAATTTTCTAGGGTGGTGGTTTCTTTTTTACACAAATATTTTTTCTACAAATGCAGCATCTTTTCTTTTTTGTGTGTTGAAAGCAGTCAGCCACTTTGAATTCAGAGGTATATTAAATAAACCGATCTTTATTCCATATTATCCACTATCAAATCCAGTTTACTCTTTTATTCTGTAGAAGGGGAGTCATACACTACACAGTCCAACAAATTTTTTTTTGGTGTCTTGGTTTTTAGGCCTATTCCCGGGGTTATTTGGGGTGCTGATTCAGAAATTGGCATTGGACAGACCACATCAGCTCTAGTTTCTTTGCTATGGTTATCATGATTTTTCATGGGTGAGCAGATGGTGATTGTCTCAAAAACTAGAGCTGATAGGGGGAAAACTTTTGAAAACAGGAGATCAAATATATCTAGCAACAACTAACATTTGAGGCACTAAAATGTGTATTGGCCAGTGTTCTTCATTTATATTGATGACAGTATTTTCCTCCTTTACTTCATTATGTAGGCAATATTAATTTTGGTTCAGCACTTGAGAAATAGAAGAGATAATTTATGCAAATTTATTGTCCCCTCAAGAAAATATGGACTTGGTGACTAAAATAACAATTGAAAAGAATTATTATTATTTTGGGTAATATTTAGTAGAATTTTATAATTATTTTAAAAATTGAATCCTAACATGGAATTAGTGATCTTTCTTTCTTTCTTCATTCATTCATTCATTCATTCATTCATTCATTCATTCATTCATCCATTACCAAAGCCTAATAAACTAAAGTCACTGTCTTCTATTAACAATTTCAACATTTTCCATAGATTTAAAGTCATAAAAAATCAGCATTATCTTTTTGGGGGAACATATTTAAAGATATGAGTCTATGTTCTTCTCCCATGCTTTGTGTTTCTTGCAGCATGTTGTTTTCTATCTCAAAAGTTTACTGGAAATCAAATTGGCATTTTGGCTTCCTGTACTGAATGATTGCAAAAATAATCATCCGGAAATGTATTGCATTTCTATTTTCATATTAAAATGTGGACACATTTCTTTTAAAAATGCAAAGTTTAATGTTTTTTATATCTAAGCGTTTGACCTAATATACATTAAATTATATACAGACCATTGATTAAAAAAAACTATTTAAACAACTTGTAGCTGTTTTTAATGTGTTTTTGGGTGCTGGTTATGAAAAACATTATAAAATGTAATCTGCACAGTTCTTTCACCATTTTTATTAGACGTTGGTGTTTATTTTGTTCAGTCATGTCCAATAAATTTGCAGTTAACTGGCCCTATGGGGATAGGTAGGTGCTGGATGAATGTAGTTTCTGTTTGTCACAGGTCACAGGTCTGCAGTCTCGGTGTCCTCCTGGACTCATCACTTACGCTTGAAGCTCAGGCATCGGCGGTGGCCGGGAGGGCTTTCGCACAATTAAGACTCATGCGCCAGCTGCGACCGTACTTCGTGAAGTCGGATCTGGCCAGGGTGGTCCATGCCTTAGTCACCTCCAGATTGGATTACTGTAATGCATTTTACGTGGGGCTTCCCTTGAAAACGGCCCGGAAATTTTAATTGGTACAACGGGCGGCAGCCAGGTTACTAACTGGTGCGACTTACAGAGAGTGGTCAACCCTCCTGTTTTAGGAGCTCCATTGGTTGCCATTCATTTTACGGTCCCAATTCAAGGTGCAGGTTCTTACCTACAAAGCCCTGAATGGTTTGGGACCCGCCTACCTGCGTGACCGCATTTCTGTGTACGAACCCACATGATCTCTTTGATCATCTGGAGAGGCCCTGCTCACGCTCCCACCTCCTTCGCAGGCGTGATTGGTGGGGACGAGGGAGAGGGCCTTCTCGGTGGTGGCCCCCCGACTCTGGAACTCACTTCCCAAGGACATTAGGCATGCCCCAACTCTGGCAGTCTTTAGGAGGAGCCTGAAAATGTGGCTGTTCCAGTGTGCCTTCCCAGAATAAGGAAAATTCTCAGCAATATGCCCTCAGAATGCACTTTACTACTGATTTAGGATTGACTGCATTCTCTCATCTCTCTTTGAAAACCCTATACCAGTTATATCCTACCTTGTTCATGCCCAGTGTTTATTTTTTTATTTTTAAACTTTTACATTTGGGCCAGCCATAGGTTTTTAAATCTTTGTGTGTTACTGTTTATTGGTTATTGTTTATATGTGATTTATTTTAATTGTATTGCATTTATTGTTTTTGTTTATTGCTTTTGCTTATTGATGTACTGTTGGGCTTGGCCTCATGTAAGCCGCTCCAAGTCCCTTGGGGAGATGGTGGCGGGGTATAAATAAAGTATTATTATTATTATTATTATTATTATTATTATTATTACTATTATTATTGTTTGAGAGTTACTATCGAAAATAGGCCTTATACTATACCTCATAACATACACTCTGTATAGACTTGGTCTTAGTACTGAAATACAATAAAAAGCAAATAAAGACAAAGAGAAATTTAATACAATGTAACCCCATTTTGCTATATTATAAAAACAGCTTTGTGAACAGAGTGCGTCATTTTTCACTTAATATTTTTGCTAGTTGCTTAAGTTCCAGTTAACTAAGTATCTCCTGTATTACAATGCCTTTGAAAAATCCTGCTAATCTCTTGAGAAGGCAGGCGGAGAAACATCCACATTCTGGAAGAAGCAAAGACCACCAGCATTGAAGTGATGATCTTTAGTTGACTGGCCATGTTGTCCGAATGCCCAATCACTGTCTTCCAAAGCAGTTGCTTTACTCTTAGCTCAAGAATGGAAAGCAGAATGTTGGTGGACAGCAAAAGAGATTTACAGATGTGCTTAAAACTAACCTTAACAATATGGAATAAACAGAGCACTAGTAAGCCCTGGTTCAAGCTGAAGGTCAGTGA